GTTTATAATGGCAAATGATACTTTGAATATTACATGTTAATAACTTGATTGGAATTATAACCTTGAATTGACAGTTTGATACTTTGAAAATTTTGAGCCAGCCCTACCCCCAAGGGCTGTAGGGTGGGGCTCAAAGGAGTCAGTGTGCTAAAATTTCTTCATTTTCCTTGTTTAGAATCAGAGGTGCTAGTTTCAAATACTTTTTAGTCTGAAATCTGTATGCTAGATATTGAATATCTATAGAGCACCCTAGGCGCTAGCAAGTTTTGAAAATTCAAATAGTTACAATTATACCTTTTGAAATTCTGAAGAAACCATAATGAAGTCCTTTTAAAGTACATGTGTATTCAAGTCTGACAATAAATTGTGGTGATGTTCAGCGAAAAAACTTATTAAAGCTTATCAGAATTGTAGATATTTTATGTATTCACCGACAGTTTGATATATTGTCAAAGATTATATTAATATATGGTAAAATTTTAGTGAAACCTTACTATTTCAGACATTTCTGTTCCTGGAAATATTTTGTGAAATGTTCAAGTCTTCTAGCAAAGGATATATAACTATTGTTTCAGTTTGTTAGAATGAGACATTTCTTACATAGAGAGGTTCCATCGAACACATAACACTTAACATGAAACTTCAAACTAAATCAAACCTCAAGTGCTACCATGCTGTTCTGGTGTTTAATCAGTCAAGATTGAGGAAAATTGTGGGTTTGAAATTGTACAAGTGGAACCAGCTGACCAATGTTGCTTTTGACTTTTTCAGGAGAGTTGTCCAATATGTAGCAGTGCTCAGAAAAGAGGACCCGGAGCCAAGGGCTTAGGGACGTAGAAGTTATTTATAACTTAAATGACTGGATAGAAGTTATTTATAACTTAAATGACTGGATAGAAGTTATTTATAACCTACGTGGCTGGATAAGAGACAGAGTATAGGCTATACATAATGGGACAACGATTAAAACGTGTTCGGACGACTGTAAAACTGAAATTTCAACAAGAGACAAACTCGAGAATGTATGTGATATACAAAGGCACAATAGAATTGTGTTGGACATTTGTGAATCTGGAGGATTTATCTTGATAAAGTAGATGAGGATTTCTGTGTTTACCTTAGTTGAAGAGCACACCATTATACTGACTTGTGACGAAGGCAGGTTTCCTTGGAAGCTTTGACAGAGCTGTCTCTCTATTGACTAAAATGGTACAGGGGTTTACTCCCTTGTAGCTTAATCGGTGCAGCAGTTTGTACCAGATTGTGACTGGGGATATTTCTTTGTAGTTCAATCAGTGAAGCAATCTCTCAAGTAAGCCCAGTCCCACGTATGTCTCCTAGAGGAACAAAACGGCTAACAATTTACACTAAGGTGGACTCGTCACTATTGGGACTTCTAGATTTCAAATAAAAACAGATTGATATCTTCTTCAAGAGTAAAATAAACGTCTAGCGTTGTCTGTTAACATCAGGAGGTGAGGAACACAATGGTGATAACTGAAGAGAACGATTAAAACATAACACTCTCCCGTTTGAAGTCATTCAAAGTAAGCTGCTTGAGTTTTCTTAATACTGCATAGTACATAATGTATTACTTTGTTTTCATGTTTATAATTAAGTGCTAAAAGCTATCAATAAACATGATCTGTTTTCTTTGAATTTTGCTTCATTCTATTACAACTACAACCTGTTTATGTATGGGCTATCGTAAATATACACTCCCGACACCCCTTTTTTCACATGAAAGTTTCCAATGGTCTTAAGATACATATTGAATTTTGGGACTGATCAGAAAACCATGAAGGCCGATATCTTGAATTTTGAAAGTTAGTGATTGTTAGCACTATTTCTTAGAAAGTACTGGATGGATCTTTCTCTTTCACATAAAGGATCCCAATGGTCCCTATTTATGCTATGAATATTGATTTTTGGGACTGAATTGAAAAGCAGGATGGCCATCAGATAGCCATCGTTAATTTTTGACAGTTCAATTTTGTCGTCACCATTTTTCGAGATGTACGGATAGATTTTCAGCCCACCATCATCTGATGGGCTATTCAAATCACCGTCGTCCGTCCTTAAACAATTTTTGTTATCGGTATTTCTCAAGAAGTACCAGAGGCATCTTTCTCAAATTTTATATGTAGGTTCCCCTTGGTCCCTAGCTGTGCAGCAGTGCCTGATATGGACGGTCGCCTGCTCGCCAATGGTGGTTAAAGTCTTGCTCGAGCGACCAAAAGTTGTCAAAAGTGAGGTAGTCGCTGGCCCAACAAAAATAGTTTGGCCGACTGTCGAAAATTAAAGTCCCTTCCGCATTAACTGGAGGTCAGTACATTTTTCAGTTGTCATTAGTTCGATTTGAATCGAACTGTCCGTGATTTAGAAAATGTGATGATTTGTTTTTCAGATTTTATGTATAAACTGCCAGGGTGTCTTCTTTGAGGTGCGAGTTTTGTGTATTTCTTTTTGGGAAGACCTGAATGGAGTGGAGTTTTAACTAGGGTTGAAGAATTAAAAATATAATGTTTTATTCTGTTTTACATATTACAAACATTGTCATGTTATATGTAATTTAAATGTGCTGAAGCATTAATTGTGTTAAATACTGTGGAAATATTTCTTCCCAAAATTATTTGGGCCACCAATATGTCATTTGGGCCCGTGCTTCAAATTTTTTACACGCCCATTCTTCATGTTTACTTCTGAAACTGATCAGTTAAACAAAATGGCCTACCGACAGCCATCTTCGATTTTTGATATTGAAGGTTTGTTAGTACTATTTCTCAGGAATAACTTGAGGGATCTTTCTCAAATTTGATATGTAGGTTCCCCTTGATCCCTTGTTGTGCATGTTATATTTTGAGACTGATCACAAAAACAAAATGGCTAAAGGAAGAACTAAACAGATCTCTCTCATATTGCAATGATCGATTCTGTTTCTTTCACATTAAGTACTGTACTAGAAGGTTGGCTTTCATACACATCAGTATTAAGTTATGATCAAAAGTTACCTCAAGGTGTATTTACTGTTGACATGACTCGATCAAACAGATTAGAGGAAAGAAGAGAAAAGATCAAACTGACAAAGAACTAATGAAGATGGTACAAAGGTGGGCGCCAAGATCCCTCTGGGATCTCTTGTTATAATATTTCAAAATTTGGTTTACATATATATATATAGGTCTTTAGTTATACATGTTTCATTTTGCAGCTGATCAGAAAAACTGGTCGCTATAGATAGCCATCTTTGATTTCAACAGTTCCTGTTCATTATCACCTCTCCCCAGGAAGTAGCACGTACTTGACAGATTAATCTTTAATTTAGGTTCCTCTTGTTACACACAAATAACTGTATGTGGTAGTAAGTAGGTCAGATGACGGCACTTTAAAAGAACAATGACATTAACACAGCAATGTGAAGCTTTGATCAAAGGTTACCAAAAGGTGCATGTACTGTTTACATGTCTGATCTATCCAACATATCATATTTATTCAAGAAAAGATCAATCTTACATAGAACTTATAATATGGAGACGGTATGATGGTGGGCACATACATCTCTCTCCAATCTCCTGTTCTGTTATAAGTTGCTATTTAAGTATCTGACCTCTGACGTAGTTGGTGGCGGAACATTCCAGACATTTAATTTAAGTCCTCATCAACCCATAACATATACATAGAAAATCAAAACCAAACACAAGTATAAACAGCATACAATTTATTGTTCAATAAATTTTCTAATAATCTCCTGTTCAAGTAGATTATAACTGGAGTCGTTAACGAATCTATAACCTATACATACTGTCAATGTCAAGTCTATAATCTACATGTCAAACACAACTAGTCGATAACAAATCTATAACCTATACATACTGTTAATGTCAAGTCTATAATTCACACGTTAGACACAACTAGTCGATAACAAATCTATAACCTATACATACTGTCAATGTCAAGTCTATAATCTACATGTCAAACACAACTAGTCGATAACAAATCTATAACTTGTATATTCCGTCTTTGCGTATTGCAGAGTTATCTTCTCTTCCATTGATTGTTACGTCATTGGTTTGTGTGAGAAAGTTACATCGTTTTCTCAAAAATTGATGATGTTACTCTCACAACCAAGTGACGTAACAATCAATACCTGCTCTCAAGAGAAGATAACTCTGCAATACGCAAAGACGGAATACTGTCAATGCATGTCAAGTCTATAATCTACATGTCAGACCTAACTAGTCGATAACAAATCTATAACCTATACATACTGTCAATGTCAAGTCTATAATCTACATGTCAAACACAACTAGTCGATAACAAATCTATAACCTATATATATACTGTCAATGTCAAGTCTATAATCTGCATGTCAGACACAACTAGTCGATAACAAATCTATAACCTATATATATACTGTCAATGTCAAGTCCATAATCTACATGTCAGACATAACTAGTCGATAACAAATCTATAACTTGTATATTCCGTCTTTGCGTATTGCAGAGTTATCTTCTCTTCCATTGATTGTTACGGCATTGGTTTGTGTGAGAAAGTTACGTCGTTTTCTCAAAAATGGATGATGTTACTCTCACAAACAAGTGACGTAACAATCAATACCTGCTCTCAAGAGAAGATAACTCTGCAATACGCAAAGACGGAATACTGTCAATGCATGTCAAGTCTATAATCTACATGTCAGACCTAACTAGTCGATAACAAATCTATAACCTATACATAGTCTATAATCTACATGTCAGACATAACTAGTCAATAACAAATCAATAACTTGTATATACTGTCAATGTCAAGTCTATAATCTACATGTCAGACATAACTAGTCAATAACAAATCTATAACTTGTATATACTGTCAATGTCAAGTCTATAATCTACACGTCAGACATAAACAGCTCACCAATATTGCTTATAAAACCTTATATATATATAGACTAATTTATCATTCCTATGTAAATAGACATTACAACACAAAGGTCAGATTTCCGAGGTTCAGCACTTCAGGCTCTGCCATGTGCTGAACTTCAAAAATCTGATCCTGATAGTTGATATTTTCATTTACATCAAACGAGATTGACTAATTTCTATTTTTCTCAAATTTTCCTATCAAAAAATACTGTCTAGCTGTAAAGGTGTATTTAGGGCATTAATTTAAATGGTTTCTTCTGACCTAGACTAAGTTGGGAACAAATGTCGGGGGTAGCTGGGAGAGAAATAGTACAGTACAGAATTAAGAATATGAAGATAAATTGGAACAAAACAATCTCGTTCAACTGTCGGTTTAAATCCTACTACATAATGACAGTGGTAATGATAGAGATATAACAAGTCTCTATGGATATAGCTCGAGGTTAAAGGTCATGTTAACTAGATAGAACACGTGTCCTCTTTACTATCATAAACTATTTCAGCAGAATTTTACAATCATTCCAAAGGTTAATTACTAGGCAACATTTATATCAAATTTATTAAAATCAAAAGTCTCACTACCATGGAAATTCTAGTGAATCTTGAAATAAAATCAAGTTTATCACAGAAAAATAAGTCTGAAGTACTGAATCAGAATTTAAATTCATCAGGGTCTGTATTCATGAAATTGCAAGATGATAGTTTTGTTTGTATGAAAGTCTAAAGGTTGAAACAAGCTAAACATGATATCAGGCAAATAATAATTCAAATAAAAATTATCTCTATAAAAACTCTATAATACATCTTCACAAAATAATACCGATTTTGTAAAGTGTATAAATCAGTCAAATATCAAATATCACAAAGCTCTTTGCATTTTTACAGCCCACTTTGTACTGGTTAACATGTAATTAAATATTACCTATACCCTATATGTACTACCACAGGTTACCAAAGATACGCCCATGGGCCATGTCCAGGTATACGCTCACCCCAATATCTCAGAAAAGCTTCAGTTTTCCTTCAAATAAACCTTTTCCATCAATGTTTGTTACCGAATGCACTTCAGATTTGAGGTACACTATTACAGAACAGTCCACATTGTTTACAACATCGTACAATTAAATGTTTCATGTCTCTTTAGCATCACCTTTAAAAAATAAAATTTTAAACGAGTAAAAAATATTGTTTGAGCTGAAGTTAAATTCCCTAGCTTGACTGGTCCTTTATTATTGAATTCTAAGACATGTGATCATTATAAATGAGCATTACAATTGATAGGAATACACAGACTACTATTTGTTTAACAGCTTTTCCAAGTTTCCTTTATCTGAAATCTTGAGCTATTTTTAGTGGGTTTTTTTCTAATTGGGGTGATCAAAGATGGAAAAAGGATAATTGGGTACATGTGCTGGGTATAAAATGTCTCACAAAATTACAAAAGTCTTGCAGTTTGTTAAAACAGGACTTTATGTTTACAATGTAGTCTATTATAAATTGGAGGGTTTAGTGATAATGATTGAGCATTTATATTTTGATAAAGATACATAAAAATCTGACATAAAAAATCTATTTTTAATAATTTAATTTACTATTTTAATAAGATCAGCACCGGATCATGGGACGGTGGTTTTAATACAGTTAACACTTTATCTACACCAACATTTACGACAAGTGTAACCAGCTCAACATGTAGTGTATAACAAAGATGATAACTTGTCAAAAGATAAAAATACATCGACCTACATTATGGTGCAGTATCAAACATCAAATGTCACAAATCAAAGTATGATCGCAGTTTTAAAATCTAAATTTAGGGTTGATTTAAAGAAAATAAATTTTGGAAAAATCAAATGGTGATGTGGAATGGTGTCAAGAGATATACAAAATACTCAAAGGAGTTGAATGGTCCATGTTCTGTAGAGAAATTGTAAAAAAGAAAATCTTCCCAACGTCATGTGTGATGTCATATACAACCATATTGCCAATGTCATGTCATATACAACCATGCTCTCAACATCATGTCATATACAACAATATTTTCAACGTCGTGTCATATACAACACTACTCTCAACATCATGTCATATACTGTACAACAATACTCTCAACGTCATGTCATATACAACAATACTCTCAACGTCATGTCATATACAACCATGTTGTCAATGTCGTGTCATATACAACAATACTCTCAACGTCATGTCATATACAACAATACTCTCAACGTCATGTCATATACAACCATGTTGTCAATGTCGTGTCATATACAACAATACTCTCAACGTCATGTCATATACAACAATACTCTCAACGTCATGTCATATACAACCATGTTGTCAATGTCGTGTCATATACAACAATGTTCCCAATGTCATGTCATATACAATGTCATGTCATTCATGTACTTGTACATGGAATCCAAATACAACTATTTTATTTCTGATTTCGTTCCCAACAAATATAAACATAAACAATAATGAACGCTGAAATATTTCCGATAAATAAGTGACTAATATCTTAATGATAGATAATAATGTAACAATATTTTAATGGTTATAAATATATGTGACTAATGTAAAAATACTTTAATGATAATCAATTAACTTATGCTTCTATAAATGTAAATGTCTTCTACATGATATAACATAAAATATACAAAGGAAGGTGTAATAGTACTAGGTACATTACAAAAAAGGAAACTTAAATATTAACTGGCCGTATATATTACTGTCGTACTGTTGCCAAATATCATCACAGTCAAACACTATACTAGTTCTCAATAATGAATTTGGTAGAAATTGATCTGTTGATCTTTTCAATGTTGTTTAATTTATCCATATAAATATAAAAATTCCTTTTAATATGGTTCAATGCATGACATACTGGTATTATAGGTCATGCAAACTAGCATTGCTAGCATCTCACTAACTGGTAGGTGTTTTGATGACTTGTAACTTCACTATTACAAATATTTCTTCATAAACACCAAACTTGAACAAATGTTTCTTTGCACAAGATTGTCACAGAGTTACTTCCCCTTACCAGCAGTCATGCTCAGCAATACCTCGTTTTTAGAGTATTTCAGTAGAGGAATATTCTGGTCCCTTGTTACATTATACATCTTGTAAACAGACAAGCAATTATTTTTAAAAAATACAAATTTAATCAATCAGCAGTTCAAATATACTTCAGTAAGAAAAGAACTTGTGTATAAAAATTTCAATACAAAAAATACATCTTTCTATAACTTCTTACATTTTACACGTTTATACTTGGCCACATGTGTGATTCCAACAAATAACACGATTAATGTTTCAAAGGTGTAAAACCAACAACGGTATGAAGACAATCTGACAAACATGTCAATAGTAAGTTTGAGGCATTTAGTGTATGTGGTGAAACGGTATACTGACACAGAAATACGACCAGATAGCCTCTACCTATATACAGCGATGACTGCTTTGGTAGGGGTTGGGATTGCAATACTTAAGGAATATTGTTTAATAAATCACAATATATTGTATTCCTAGAGGTTTTGTCCATTGATTTTTTTCACATAGAAATGATTAAAGGTGAGCATCAGTTCAGCATGCTCCAATGATATACTGAAAATCATTCTGTATAGTTTAATTCGGATAATGTTAATTCAATCTTAGATTTTTTTCTGTAAAATTATAACATAACTGTGCTTTACTTCCCAAACAATTGGTTGAAACAATATTGCAATATATTGTGGCTTCAAACAAATATATTGGTATTGCTGAACATATATTGCAATATTATAGGCCCACCCCTACTCTTTGGTACTATCATACATGCATCTAGTAGTCAACGGTGATAAAACATGAGGATGACATCTGTGGAAAATGTACCAGGCAAGCAAGTGAGTTGTATACACTGTCATGTTTCAATATAATGCCCAGTAACGGTCAAACCTAGGAGGTTTCAGCCATTCTCTTGATTCCCCCCCCCCCCCCCCCCCAGTCAATTTTTGATCTAAACAATTAATATGCTTTTCACCTTTTTCTTACAAGAAAGAAAGAAATCCTACCCTAAGATAGGGATGTGCCACTGCTCACTGACTCACAAATTTCACGAGACAGCTGATAAAGTAATTAATTATGCAAAAGTGTTCCTTTGTTTTACAAAGGTCCTAAGCTGATATTGTTACCGGGGTATACATGTATTTCCATATCACAATAATTGTATCTACATGAAATCAACAGTGAGCCATGCTCCGGTCCTTATGGCTGTATTCCAGCTCATTAGAAACAAACGTATTAAGTCTTAAATGGTTTCTGGATTTAACATAAGATTATGAAACAAGTCTAGAAAATATTTATTAATAGAAAATCTTAAGTAATATTTTCGAAATAATTTCATATGAAATTTCAAAAAAGATTTTCACATTACCCAATGTTTACACCAATGCATACAGTGTGAATCAAAAAAGTTTTCAGCCAAAACATAATTTCTTTCTGATAACTAAGTTGCAGTCTAATCATAAACATTCTTGTCATTGTGACAAAAGCTGTATTGCACTATAAAATATCACATCATATATCAACATGTTGTCTATATTGGCTGCAATTGCCAAAGGATTTCCTTGATAAAAACAGATTAATCTAATGTATTGCTATTCTTAATTATATAACAGGTTCATTACTTTTGATCTCATGCAGTAGGGTCAATCAAAAAATTACAAACTTAACACTTTATAAAGAATACAGGCTACTCCAATATGCTCCAAGGGGTATAATACACAGTCCCGTAATGTCAAGCCTTGTTCATCCTGAAACTTGTGGTCAAAATATGACTTAGGTTTGGTTTTGTTGGGTATAGCGACCTATTAAAAGTCAAGGTCATTTAAGGACATGCTTTTGTATGTCTATTGTATCCGTATGTGTGCTGGTGTATCAGAAGGAACTTCGATAACAGTCAATTATTTAAAGGAGAAGCTGATCAAGGAAAAAATTGATGAAAGAATACTGCACCTAACCTTAGCTCACACAGGCACTTTGTACCAGGCGAGCTATAATATCACAATCAGCCATATAGCACTAACATCTGGAAACATGTTAACCGAGATACAATTTCTACAGGAACTTAAATGCCTGCAGAATACAAGGGATGGTGATATTTTATCAAACACCAATGCTTTATACTCTCACAGCAGACACATAATGGTGGAGATATGTCTATGGACACACTAGTGGAGCTACAATACGTATATCAGGATGATGCTCATCTCAAACTCCAAGGTTCTGCTCTCAAAACACCTATCTTCTGTACACCGTGGAAATATGTCATAACAAAACTAAAGGCACACTGAGTTAGCTATTTGATTGGTTTAAGATATAAAATCTTGACCAATTGCTAGGCTGATACCTGTCCTTTGAAGATTATAGTGGAGTGACACCAAACTACAGAGCCAGTAAATTTTACCATTATGCTGCATGGTGATTCATTTGATGTATATCAGAGTATCAACCTAGTCTACTTGTATCATACACAGGGTGGTCCATACAACCTAGTCTACTTGTATCATACACAGGGTGGTCCATACGACCTAGTCTACTTGTATCATACACAGGGTGGTCTATACAACCTAGTCTACTTGTATCATACACAGGGTGGGCCATACAACCTAGTCTACTTGTATCATACACAGGGTGGGCCATACAACCTAGTCTACTTGTATCATACACAGGGTGGTGCATACAACCTAGTCTACTTGTATCATACACAGGGTGGTGCATACAACCTAGTCTACTTGTATCATACACAGGGTGGTCCATACAAGGCTATCAATTTTGTCATGACATTTTGAAGACAGTAGAGAAGATAGGTTTATTTAGAGTGGAACACTTGGATACCAAAGATAGATACTGCTCTACTCTTCTACATCAAGTTTTATACAGAAACAGCAGGTTTGGGTCCTGGACAGTTACAGTGAATATATTTTAAGGTAAAACAATAATATAAATAATACACTGTTACAAAACACTGCTAAAGATATCCCAGTGATATTTTTGGTTGTACAGAAAAAACAGTTAAATCTGTTGATAGGATTGTGTGTGCCTATCCTTGACAACATTAAAATGACCCAGGCTTTCACTGATCAGGGAATAGTAACCATGGTTATAATGAAATTATCTCAATTTCAAATTTGATCAGAAAAAAAATAACAAATTACATGGAAAACCCCTAGTTTCTCAAACATTTGTTACATCAAATAAAAATGTTACAATACTGAAACACTTTCCTTATAGGGAATTTTTAGGGGAGGAAAAAGTCATCGCTAAGATTTAGGAAGAAACAAAAGTCTAGTAAAAATTTCAATGTGAAAAATAGACAAATGTCATTAGAATCGAACGTTTTATACATCTTGAAGTACTGTTTGATGAATTCTACACTAACATAAAAACAGTACAAAATACAGAAATCAACATAGTTATTGTTTTTATAAATTTGAAATTGAAGTATCACTACAATTAACTTAAACCTAGCATTATTGGAAAAACTTCTGGGAATTTGAGAGCAGTGGGTCATATTTCAGCAATGTTTAGTCAATATCAAAATTAAGAGGGTCCATTCCATGTAAAATGAAAAGAAACTTGGAACATGGAGGGGTCAGTTTCAGTTTTGAGGGGTCAATGACCACATAGCCCCCCCTGCTAATTAAGTAAAGGAAATCACAGTTGGTTGTGAAGTATCAAAAGTCAAATGTCCTCTGATCAGCATCAAATGTCCTCTGATCAGTATCAAATGTCCTCTGATCAGTATCAAATGTCCTCTGATAGCATCAAATGTCCTCTGATCAGTATCAAATGTCCTCTGATCAGTATCAAATGTCCTCTTATAGCATCAAATGTCCTCTGATAGCATCAAATGTCCTCTGATAGCATCAAATGTCCTCTGATCAGCATCAAATGTCCTCTGATCAGTAGCATATTAAACTCTATGTCATTTAGGATATGACTGATGCTAATTGGCTAACTATATTTGCATGCAGGATCTTCAAAGGTGAGATGTTGCTTATAAAAATATATAATGGCAAAGATCATTGCACAATCTTCAACATCGGTTGTTGTTAGGGCAAAAATCTGCACAGAATCTTCAAGTGCGGCCGTCAACATATCAAAGTTCATTAAAAAAAATTAAGATGACTATTTCGGTGGCAAAACTCTGTTCAACAAAGAATTTTCAAAGGTGGTTCACAATGAAAAAGTTCTGTGCAGACTCATACAGGGCGACCTGCTATGGCAGTTCAGGGATCGCTGTTTCTATGGCTGAACTCAGTCCAATCTTCAAAGGTGGGTTGACAACTGATTTGTCAAAGTTCAGTGTAACATCTTGAGTGATCCCACCCCACAAACATTCCCTTGTCTCTATAGTGATCTCTAGATAACCAAACTGGACCTGGAACATAAAAATCAGTTACATGTATCATCAAGTTACATGTATCATCAAGTTACATGTATCATCAAGTTGAAAGATAATATGTCTGCAAACTCACATGTTTAATACACTCCAGCACTTATTGTAATTAGTGATTAGCAAGAGTGTAAATGTTGTCAATTGCATATTATTTAAGTAAAAACAAATTAACTATTATATCATTATAAAATTAGCCTAATAAGCTTTTATTTATTATTACAGTAATTCATTCATGCACTGCCTCAACCACTGGTACTTGAGACTAAAGACATTTTGACTATCAGTTGTTTTTAAGTTTAGAAATTTGTTAACAGTATTTCAGGTTTTCTATACATTTGTATTTTGTAACAAACTGTTCACACAATAATTGCCTTTCTTTATAATACTGCTTCATCACTATATGCAGCTTTGATATAGACAGGAGAAATACACCTCCTCATAAATACATCTTTGTACAGCAGGTAGGAAAAGTATACCTCTAGCAATGGCTAAACTAATTTGATAGCTAAGGATGATAAATAGATGTTAGAATATTGAGTGAAAGGTTACTATATTGATAACTAACAGGAAACAGGCATTTTGTTCAGCTCAAATTATTCATGAGATGAAAAATAAGATTTTTTAAGCTAAAAAAAAATCTTGAATGAAGAGGGAATTTGAAATAAAATATGACTTCAAAAACCTTAAATAGTATATATTTTGTTCTTTTTAATATGAAAAACAAATATTTCTCCAATTAACTAGAAAACTTCTGCAAGATATGAATGCCCCTTTGGTTCTATGTTTGACCTATAAATAGCAACAGTGACATTTGTGTTGATCTTGGGACCCTTAAATATGAACTCATCTGAGGAATTCTCGTGCATGATCTTTGTATAAACTTTGTTTGAGTCACCACAATGAATCTCAATAGGACAACATGGGTACACTGTAACATAGTACGCATCTGCCAACCCCCACCCCCAATAAAACAGTGATGGTGATGGTGGTGAGTAGACTGTTTCTGTTGAATCTTCCTGTATGATATGAATGTTGAATTTGAGCAGTGAATGAAGCAGATCAAGCCAAAATGTGCATGTTGTGAATATTGTTGTGTGTGTAGGTACCATGGAACCTTATCAGTCCTAATATCAGGACAACACGTTTAGGATATTACCTATGTCAATTTCAAGAAAAAAGAAATCTCTAACTTAGCATTATAACTTTCTGACTAACATTTCACTGTACATGCAAGCAAAGTGTGTGAAGAAAGCTCCTGTTTATTGGACTTCTGTAATAGTTACCTGTCATTTACAGATTATTGCTGTTTAAAAGGAAGGGGAGATTCTGATAAGTCACATGACATTGTGTATTTTAATATAGGTATGGTACAATGTATCAGTATACAATTATGTAGTAAGGCCAAATTGGCTCATGTGACCATTTATTTTTACCTTATAAGGAAATGACCATTTATGTATTACAACGCCGTGAGACTCAGCACTGCCTATCAATAAACTGTGTCCATCCTCAATCCTGATGTGTTTCATTGAATACACAGGGACACAGTTGAAGATGTTCCCTCTTATGCCTGACAGTGCATTAATGTATATCATAAAGAATTGTTTACCTTTAAATTTATAAATTAAGCAACATATCTGAGGAAAATCTCAAATGTTATTACAAAGGAAATGTTTACATCAGGCCCGTCATATTCAGCTTCAGCAGGGAATCGTAATCTATATTAAAATGAAATTTTTCAAAAGATGTCTTTATAATAAAGATCATGCAGTAAATGATACTTGAAATTACAAATCACAGAACAGTACTTTAAAATTGAAGCTCAATCAATCCCGGAAATGGGTTTGAAGGTAGTGAAGCTCAAACACAAGAGCTGTATACATCCTGGTTAGTGAATGACACACTCCTCTGTGTACATCCTGGTTAGAGAATGACACACTCCTCTGACCATCATGTTTACCTGTGAAATTCTCCATGGTTGATATCGCTGTGTCGTACGATGACTGTGGAGTGCCACACGACCATCGGTCCCAGGTGGAGGTTACTCCCCCTGGACTCTTTTCCTCCGAACAACAGGAAGTAGGGAGTGTCAATCTGCAATCAAAAGTTGAAAATCAGCGACAGAAACATACGTAATAATATACAGCATTTGATATAGCACCCTATCTAGCTCTAAAGCGCTTTACAGTACAAAGATATACAACTAATACAATCAGCATATACATTAATCAATACAATTTTGAGGAATTCGCAGGAGCTTCCTTATCATGCACTAACTACTAGTCCTATGCCACCTGGCTAATATCTCCCCATGTGTCAATACAATATTGAGGAATTTGCAGGAGCTTCCTTATCATGCACTAACTACTAGTCCTATGCCACCTGGCTAATATCTCCCCATGTGTTTATGCCTGCCTGTGGCTGGAGATGTAATGTGTTCTGTTTGTAGTGGGACCGTGCTTCCAACAGCATCATTTATAGTGCCACCTCACTTGAATGCTACGTACAGCACAGATACCGCAACATCCACCGCAGACCAATTTATACTCCACCTTGGTTGTTGGAGTTGTGTGGGCAGGAGAAAAAGACTTTCTCTGAATATCCATGTGTACGACGATTTCGGGGATCGAACCCCGGCCTCTTGTGTGGACTGCCCGAGTGTTAACCACTCAACCAATCCGCCCATATGTACAGAAGATTTAGGTTCTGATTCAAACTACCATCAACATTTCTTTATCAAATTTCTTTGGAAACAGAGTACGTAATATACTCTATAACATGAAACATTCGGGTATACTTTCTTTCATGGTATGAAGCTATTTAATTTCATGGAACAAGCTTTCGTGGAAACCCCATATAAACACACAGTGGTCATGTATGTCAATTTCATTCATTGTATCTATTTTCGTTGTTCCATAGCAGCCTCGAAAACCACGAATGTTTATACACAACGAACATTTCATGTTATACAGTATCTGAATTACAAAGTTCAACTGTATATTCTAGATCACAATCTATGTTAGGTGTAACAAGAACCACAAAACTATTTCATTTACCCATTTTTCTTTCAACAATCTTTCTCTTTTGACAAAAAAGCAAATTACACATGTACAAAATAAATTTCAAACCTTAATCAAAAGCCATAATGACCACATTGGGTTCCAGGATCAGAATGATGAAATTTATGAAATACATCCAAAATTGTGACATGATACAGTGATGTTTGTTATACTACTGGCCCTAGTTATAATACAACTCACCTCTTGTTTGACATAAGACTCCGGACCTTGGCCACTATCACGTGACTGACAATGGTCCATAGATTTACTGACTGGCATTGATGCCTGGTCTCTCCGGTGACCTTCCCGGCTGTTTGTGTTACGTAACGGAGGTAGTGTTTTGTGATCATTTTCTTCCCAACAATGCATACTGTTTTTCCTTGGCGGAATTACATGTAAGCTACTTGATATCTGTTTGGACGAACCAAAGTTCACGTTTATCAGTGCCGTTTCACCGAGATTTGACATTGACGACGACTTTGATTCTATTGCTCCTGAGGTATCACCAATAACAGTTTGGCCACAATACAAAGTAGGTTTCATTTCTATAGAATTCAAGTTTGACAAACTACCACCATTTTGTTTGCTGTTCATAGTTTGGCCTCGGAATGGATTCCTTGATGTTTGTGTAGCACTTCTATCTACAAAATAGTGATTCTCAACAAACTCTAAATCCTCTACCACAAGTTCTTGAGAAGATGCTAGTTTGTTGAATGCACCTAATTCCTTTAACTCTATGGCTTTTCCATGATTCTTGTGTTGCTTTTTCTTATATCGTTTTGAAGGAGAATTCTTCACTTGTCCAGGTATGACATTTTCTTTTAACTCATGCTTTGATGCACTTTCACTCAATGCATTTTCTAGAGAATTTTGATTTTCCTGGAAACAACACATTTCAGACATATCTGTACCACACTCCTCCACTGCATACTTTGCACCTTGTCCAGGAGTCTTTCTACCTGTGAAGTCTGGACTTTGATTTTCCTGGAAATTATGAAATTTCAAAATCTCTGTTACATTTGATACTTCCTCTAAACTACGTTCTCTTTCTAGGGCAGGGTTATCTACCCCTTTCCCCTGACTTCCTGTTGAGGTTACACTAATAGAAGATAACTGACGATTGTACAATAGGGGCGAGGTGTCCTCTGTTCCTTTGTATCGCGGTGTTGTCTCTTTCACTGCATACTTTGCACCTTGTCTAGGAGTCTTTCTACCTGTGAAGTCTGGACTTTGATTTTCCTGGAAATTATGAAATTTCAAAATCTCTGTTACATTTGATACTTCCTCTAAACTACGTTCTCTTTCTAGGGCAGGGTTATCTACCCCTTTCCCCTGACTTCCTGTTGAGGTTACACTATTACAAGATAATTGACGATTGCACACTAGGGGCGAGGTATCATCTTTTTGTTTGTCTCGTGGTGTTGTCATCAGAATTGGCAGCCTCAGATCTTGCGAACCTGGACTCAAGGAGCGTGAGGTGAGTTGAGCAGGCACAAACTTCTTGTTGTCAGAGTTTCTATTTAAATCTGGACGGACTTGGTTTCGAGCAGAAGAATAGGCCGGACTACTTTTTGGACGTCTAAGTTTGCTTCCTTCCTTTTTGTTCTTTAAGTAAGGCACAGAGCTGGTTCGGATGGAGTTATCTGTCTTGAGGGTCAAGGCAGTGATTGGTACAACACAGTGCCAGACACGAGCAGGAGGGACAGACCCGTGTACATTGACACATGTCCAACGAAAGGAACCTAAATAGAGACAGAATCATAATAAAATATTCTGAATCCCTAAATAAAAGGTAACTTAGATCAGCATTTATCAAATAAAGAAACAAGAGGCCCATGGGCCTTAACGGTCACCTGATATATTTATACAGAGAGTTAATTTTGTTTTTAACATGAACAGAAATATTATTCAAAGTGACAAAAAACAATAAAACCACCTTAGTCAATATCTAGCATACAGATTTCAGACTAAAAAGTATTTGAAACTAGCACCTCTGATTCTAAACAAGGAAAATGAAGAAATTTTAGCACACTGACTCCTTTGAGCCCCACCCTACAGCCCTTGGGGGTAGGGCTGGCTCAAAATTTTCAAAGTATCAAACTGTCAACTCAAGGTTATAATTCCAATCAAGTTATTAACATGTAATATTCAAAGTATCATTTGCCATTATAAAC